GGTGGTGATGGGCAAATGCTGCACCTGCCCAAGGCTTGCAGTTCAGGGGACTACAGTTCCTCATCAATGTTCCCTCCGTTTTTTCCATTCATGTGCAGAATAAATTTTGTTATGTGCTCTGAGGCATATACAGAAGTGCAACACCAGTAGAAACACATGCTGTGGGCTGATCACAGATCTGTGGGCTGAGCAGAAGCTAATCAGCTGGGTGTCATTTGAATGTCTTCTGGACTTATTAGTTATACTTGTTTTCATAGGATTCCATTATATCTGGGTTGTCCCAACAAAGGAGTAATTTTAACTTGTCTCGAATTTCTGTATATATTTCCTAATTTGAATTGTTAATGGAGTTTCACTTCTACATCAGTCACTAAGCTCTTCTCAGCCCGTTACTAAGGCAGCATTTAGTTATTCTCTGCTGCTTCGTTAGAACTGCCACTGCCACTTAGACTGTTTCACTGATTAATGAGCGCTCCTCTCTCCTGTGGGCAGGCTGCAAGTGACCCCCAGCACCACTCTGGAGTACAAGCGATATTAGGGAAATATGTGCAAATTGTCAGGAGACAATCAGTTGACTCCAGGGTAAGAAATGTGCAGAAGAGGAAGAGTGGAGAGGCTTGTTCAATTAATCATTATCCCAAGCTGTGGCGAGGTCCTGCGCAGTGCTGAAATAAACCTTTTTGTTCAAAAGGCAGCAGACAATGGGCTAATGGTTTGTGCCCTGATTGACCAATTTAGTTACAGTGACACTCAGTAAATAGTATGACAGACCCAGCAGGAAGCTGGGCCTCTGGTGTGAGTTCTGAGACTTGTGTGTGAGCTTCCTCTCTGTAGCCTGAGCAAAACCTCCCTCTTTGTAATGACAGTGAGCTGGAACCTGGGGTCATCATGTCTTTGTGCCTCAGCTCCTCCACCTGGGCAGCTTCACGGGAATATTTGGAGACTTAGTTCAGTAGTGTTGATAAAGCACTTAAGGGCCATGCCTGAAGGAAGGCTTTAGAAAGAGGCAGTGTTTCACTGTTAAATATTTCATTATTTTGTTACTGCTAAAGTACAGTTCTGTCTCTAGGAATCTCTCTGCAGGGCCAGGGCAGAATCATCCCTTCTCCCAGAAAAGTATGATGAAAATAGATGGATTCATAGATGGAAACACAGATTAGGGCTATGAAAAAATGATCAAGTGAAGAGAATTTTGGAAATTGTTACCACAGAGGAGATGAATAAAAGGGAATATGATAAAACACAAACGACCCAGGTATGAAAGAAAGAAGATAGAGAAGGTGATGTTATTCGCTCTGCCTCTTAGCACAAGATTAAGGACTCAGTGAAGGCCATTGAGAGGTGGCAGGTACAAAACATACAATGCGCACTTCGCCTGTGGAACTCATTGCCACAGGATAGCATTGAGGTCAAAAACTCAGCAGGATTGAAAAAAAGAGCATTTATGTGGTTAACAAAAACATCCTCATGAATTCTGGAAAGAATTTAAACCCTTCTGCTTCAGACCATGAGCTGTCTTCTGACTACTGAAGAGTCAGAGAAAGCTTTCCCAGGGAGCAGATCATCCATATTTGTCTGTGGCGGGGGGTTGATTCTGGCCTTTCATGGAGATGGGATACTGGACTGAATGGACCTCTAGTCAGATCCAGTGTGACAGCCTCTGTGCTCCTAGAAAATATGGTGCAGAAACTGGCAAGAGCAGTAATACACCCATGGTTGGGACCAGGGGAACCACAGCTCCGAAAACACCTGCAGTTGGGCCACTTCTTCGTTCTTTCTGTAGTACTTCATTCTGCTGCTGTTTAAGCTAGGTAGAAAGCATCACTGCTAAATAAAAACATCATATATGTGCTAATGGGGAAAGCATGCTTGTGCTCCTCATAAAACCTAAACAAGTGTCATTTACAGAGACATAGGAATATTCTCTCCAACTTGAGGCCTGGAAAATAGCCCCTCATCTATGTCTTCAGCTGTGGCTGTTGATCACTTTCTTTTTCATTTTCCCTTTCCTCTCCAAAAATGGGATTAATTCCCTTTCTTCTTTGCAGATTTTCCCATGTGGCCCAAGGGCCCACCTAACACTTCAATCTGGCCGATAGACTGCATCTGGCCACTTTCTATTTATATCCTGCTGCCTATGCCACCAAATTTCCAGGCAGTGTCTTAGGCAGCGAGATCCGATTTAAATGGCTTGTGGCTGCAGGGCTACCCCTGCACAGGCCTGTGCTGTAAGCCTTTTGAATATCCACAGCGATCATATTCTGGCTCACTATTCAGTACAAGTCAAGCAATTCTATGTCAGAGGACAAGAGTCCCCGGGCCAGTTGTCTAACCATACTATTCTGCTAACACCTCCATTGAACAATCTGTCTTTTTCCTGGGCAGCCTTTCTCACTCCTGCTGATTATTCGGGTTTCTGTGTAAACAGAAGCCATTTTCTTGGTCCCTTCTCTCATGCAATGAGGTTGCAGCCCAGTTGGTGTGACACAGCCACACTGGCTTGTAAAGTGTCTCTGGCCATTATACAGAAGGGAAACTGAGTCTGTGTCTACACTATGGAGACAGTGCTGGCATAACTCTATACTGTAGTAGATGTAGCCTACAGGGAGAGAACAGGTTTTTCATTGGTGTGGGAACAGCAGTTGCATTCTAATGTGCTATGGCTGCATCTGGGCTGCAGAGTAGGTCTGCGTAGCAGCATTTGTTAGAGGTGTGTTTTTCCCACACCCTTGAGTGACATAGCCATGTTGACCTAATTTTTAGATGTAGACTAAGCCTACATGCGGAAACAGAGACCCCCCCCCAGCGTGCGCATGGTGATTCAGGAGATAGTATTCTGAGATCACACAGTGGTGGCCACTGCATACCAAACACTCCTTGTTGCTTGGGTTTCTCTTTGATTTAAATCAAGCCTGTAATTTAATTAACACGGAACTGGGTTTCCAGTGCAGTTGTCTGGTTCAATAAGAACACATTTGTACTAAAGGTTAATGAAATGAATTTTGCCTCCATCTAATTCATTTACAGTTATAGAACCAATCAACGCTTGCTAATGGGAAAGAGATTATATATTCATGTCTATAAATTTCCCATGTCATTTTTTATTTTTCTTAATCTTTGCCTCCATAATCTGGGCTGTGAAGGTGCCTGACAGCCCTAATAAAAAGTCGTTTTGGATATTAATTGCAGATCTATCCAGTTTAAGTAAAAAAGGCTTCCACACATGCCCTCGTTAATGTACCTTGAACACAAGATTAGTTTCTATTACAAATGGGAAGGAATAGCAGGCGGGGGTCTGCCTGAGAGTGCAGGGTGAGCCTGTGCCTAAAGACTCTCACGAGCCAGAGACAAAAGTGGAGTTGATAGGGCAGCATCCTGTTCTCAGAGCCTTTGGAGAGTGTTTCCTCTTACCAGAACTGTACTTGCTTTGTGTAACCCCTCCCAGAGACTTGGCAGTGCATTGAATGTGGCAGAGCGAGCAGCAAGGAGATATTTACTGGTGAGAACAATAAAGGGTTACCTGTGAACAGTAAATCTTTGTAAAAACTAGGAGAAGATCCTGAATTATCGCAATCTGTGTGCAGACATAACGGTTACAAATATTCCATCATTTTATAAGTGAATCCCTTACTCACCAATGCCCAAGCACAGAGATTCAGGTGTTCTCTGAGAAAGTCATTGCTATTGCTATCCCTTTGTTACAGCAGGTTTCTCCCACTACTCTGTCTGGGAACCTCCAGATCTTGGATTTGCCAGTGAAACTATTTGCAGCTATGCAAGTACTTATAGGTTTGGGATTGGAAATGAGAAGTGAGGTTTATTTTATAAGTATTGCAGCTTCCCTTGAATCTCAGTGAGGTAGAGGTGTATTTCTGCTATAGCCTCTGGGGAGACTTGCAGAAAATGTGAAATGGAAAAAGTAAAGGAAACTGGCTGTGAACACATTAAAATGAAGTGTGTGCGTTGAGCGTGGGGAAGTGTCGGTCAGAGTTAGTGTTTGTGTGCAGGCAGGTACAGCTCTCTGCAGCCTGCCTCACCCACTTCTACCAACACAGCAGCATAATGCAGTAGTGACTATAACTCACCAGGAAGGTCAGCAGACTCCAGTACTACAAGGCTGGGCAAAGAATAGGAGAATGAATTCCAGAGTCAGCTACTCAATGAATAGAGGATCGCCTGCCTAACCCACTTCTACCAACACAGCAGCATAATGCAGTAGTGACTATAACTCACCAGGAAGGTCAGCAGACTCCAGTACTACAAGGCTGGGCAAAGAATAGGAGAATGAATTCCAGAGTCAGCTACTCAATGAATAGAGGATCAGTCTCTGATCACTGATGAGTGAAAATGGTAAAATATAATTAATGATGAGCATGCCGACATGTCCCTGGTAGTGATGGAGGCAGGGGAACTGAATGCAGGGCGCGCGTCTGGACCTCTACTGAGCTGGGATGGTGGAAGAGGTGGGCTGTATATACAGATCGAAGGAAGGGGAGGGTTCTGATGAAACGCTCTGGACAATGATTTTACTACCACTGTGTCCTAGCGGTTTTTGGCCTTTGTTAATACAAAATTCTTGTTGGGTGGTGAAGCTCTGGTTCTGTTGGCAGGAGAGATGGGGATCTCCATTCACAAGCTCTATGAGCCCTGTGATCACAAAGAAATAAGCAGCCAGTGGGGGAGAGGGGAAATTCTTAGGGAAAACCTTTGTTTGTTTCTGGCTTTGATTTTAGACACCAGAGCAGCATGTGATAATTGTCGATGTGGCCTGGGCAAGTGATGCAGCCCACACTGACGGTTTCCTCAGCTCTGTGGGGGACTTGGGAGCCAAAGGACAGCTTTAGATTAGCCAATATTGGCCTGACCTGAACATGATGCAGGGATACCTGGGCGTGTTCTTGCAGCTTCTATGTTCTCTGACACTAGCTCCCTGGTCAGGTAGGCTTGGGCTCTGGGATCACATCAGTTCAATAACTTGCTCCTTACTTTTGGGCTTGCAGGCATACTTCCGACAGGGCGTTGCCCTTCAGTACCTTGGACGCCATGCGGACGCACTGGCAGCATTTGCATCTGGGCTGGCTCAGGATCCCAAGAGTCTGCAGCTGCTTGTTGGAATGGTGGAAGCTGCCATGAAATCCCCCATGCGAGGTAAGCAAAGCAGCCATTGTCACATGGACTGCAGATGTGCTGTTGTTCAGCCTTTCCAAGGAAGGTGGGAAGCTGATTTCAGTTGGAAGCTGATGCCGCATCAGCATTTTAGTCTGGAGAAAACCTGTGTAAGATGCAGGGCATATTATAGGCATTTTATAACTTCTGTTGAGTTACCTGCTGTGGGACTCTTCCAGCCAGGAACCAAACTACATGAGCCTCTTGTCTGATTCAGTGGGGCACAGCTGGGGATATTGGGAAAGAGGGGTTTGGTTTTTTTCTATGAACTGCTGTTCTTGTGTTTCTGGGAAGTCCGGCTGTGCAGTCTGAGAGTTAATGCCTAGCTGGCATCTCTGTGCTGGCCATCCAGAACCGGTATCTCCAGTCGGGGACTATTCTACAGAGCGGGGGTGGGAACTATTTTTGGGTCGGGGGCCATTGATTCACAGAAATCTGTCGGGTCCAAGCTAGAAGATTTTGTGTGCTCCATCCCTATGGGGAGAACAGTGGGGGAGCTGGAGCACCAGCGCGGGCTCCCCTATGCTGTGGAGGAGCCCTAAGCCTCAGGGGCCAGATCCAGGCAAGCCTTAGGTTCCTCACCCCCATTCTAGAGGTCAAACACCTTATTCCCTGGGAAACTCCTCTTGTCCACACACAAGTGTACTAATGTTTCACAAGCATTCCCAGTGCAAGGCAGTCTGGAAACCTTGGCATTGTAACAGCATAGGCTCAGTTAACCCTCCAAGGTGATCCCACAATATCGGTACCAGTGTGCCCCACGTGCTCAACAAGAGCTTTCGGTAAACAACTTTGTGAATTTCAAGCCTTGTGGGTACAAATCTGGGTTCTGCCGAAGCTTTTCTCATTTTTCATGTGTCCCAGAACAAAGGCCCCAGAAGAGGCAGATGACCAGGGTGCTGATTCACCTTTCTCCTTGACCAGGATAGAGATGGTTTGGTGCATGTGATAATTTAATCCCTCATTGGGTCTTGCCCCCTTTATGTATTACAGCCCCATTTCCAGGGCTGGGGATTTCACTCTCTTTTTTTGTTGAATGCATTTTGCTGGTGTGAGGAGCATGGAGCAGATCAGATGCTGCTGGGAGCTTTGGAGCTTAGAGGCCAACCGGTGCCCAAAATGAAAACATTCTTTTGGTGTTTTCTCATTATCCTCCAAAATAAATTAATCCAGAGTTTTTTCTGTGTGCCAAATATCTCATGAGGATAATTTCATTTCTTCTATTCTGTGGTGCAGTGCTGCCTACAACAGTGCCGTAAATACATACGGCTCCTCATTCTCTTTGCAATGTGTTTGGATAAGCGAGTGTTGCTGTATGCCTCGGGTATTAGCCTGGAGCACCTTCTGTCTGCATGGTGTGCTCTGCTCTCACCAGACTGCAGCACAATACATTCCTCAGAGTCAGGAGACTCTATACATCTTCATTGTTTGGTCCCAACCCATTGGTGAACTGCCCCCAGTCTGTAAATATCATTGTGGGGTTGAAGTGCCCTGAAAAGAATGTGCCTCATTCTAGGAGCCATCACACTGCAGGGAGACTGTCCACTCCCTGCTCAGTGATATGGCACTTCTGTGTCAACAGCTCAAAGCTGCGATGGCCTTTTTTGATGGCCTTTTTTGCTGTCTGTTCGTATTGCAGTTTCACACCTCTGCTGCAGGCCATTCTGGCCTCTAGGACTCTCAGCATTGCTGCTCTCCCACATGTCTCCATTCCATGGACTCCTTTGGATTATTTTTGCCTCATTAGTACTAATGATTGTTATGCTAATGTTCAGAAACTTCACTCAGGATGTGACCCCATTGGTGCTGGGCATAGCACCAGCATGGAACCTGCCCCACAGAGCTTTCCTTTGAGGGAGGCGGGTAACCACAGTGTGTTGATGGGAGGGCAAATAAATACCCATTGTTGCTGTGGTAATAAAGAAGGCAAGTGCCACCTACCTCAGCCATCCCTGGAGCTCTCAGTTCAGTGATTTCTTCTGGGCTTTGCTGCAGAGGTGGGTCTTGCAGAGGGAATTGAAGGAAAGATTAGGAGGCTTTGGGATACATGAATCTCTTTTTCCCCAAGCTTAACCTGGCTGCATTTCTAACCCTTTTCGGCCCTGTTATATGAAATTTCCCTCCTCACAGGTGTCCAGAACCTCCCAGTCTGTGTTCATTGGTGTGTCATTTAACTCCCATGTCCCTTTCACACCATTAACTCATAGACTCATAGACTTTAAGGTCAGAAGGGACCATTATGATCATCTAGTCTGACCCCCTACACAATGCAGGTCACAGAATCTCACCCACCCCCTCCTAGAATAATCCTCTCACCTATATCTCAGATATTGAAGCCTTCAAATAGTTTGAAGACCCCAAGATGCAGAGACTCCTCCAGCTGTGATCTGTGCCCCATGCTACAGAGGAAGGCGAAAAACCTCCAGGGCCTCTGCCAATCTACCCTGGAGGAAAATTCCTTCCTATGCCCATCAGCTAAACCCTGAGCATGTGGGCAAGACTGCTCAGGGTTTAGCTGATGGCCATATTTGATTAACACATCTTTGAAGAAGACCAAGCTGAGCACAGATCTTTTCTATATCCTTCTGGACATGCCCCAGACTTAGTACAATCCTTTTGTATTGTTCATTGGCTATGGGCCTCTGGCCACTGCTGGGTTGATGGAACTCTACTGAGCCAGGCCACTTGGAGCTAATTTCTCAGATAAGACCTGGAGAGCTGAGGTACTCAAAGAGGTCATGTTTACTTTACTGCCTTCATCCACTCTGATTATTCGGCCTGTATGGCACTGTAGTACTGGAGACGGGAGTTAGGCAGCGTACTGGTCCAAGTCTGGAGGGAGGCCGAGCTACCTCCCTATGCTAGAAGCAGACCAGTTAGCAGTCCAGCCCAACCCTGCTTCAGGCAGGCCCACCACAGTTTGGGTGCTGCAGTCTATACTCAGTTCAGCAAGGGTCACGATGCCCACACCTAGCTCAGGGTGGGACAACAAACAGTTTAAGGAAGCTCAGGCTCATTCCCAGCCTGGGCAATAGTTCATCAGCCCAGGCCCATGGGCAGAGCAGGGCAGCCAGCCATTTAAAAATGCTCAGGCCTGTTCCCAGGCTGAGTGGCAGTCAAGTCTCCTTGCTCTGGCAGAGCCGACCAGAGTAGGACTTTGGCCCAAAACAGGGGCAACCTGCCACATGGGGAGTGGGGTGGCAGGAGGGATGCAGGCCCTCCTGCTCCACTGTGTCCCAGACCAGGCCCCCAGCAGTGACAGCTCTGGCTGCCTCTGGGTCAGCAGGGATCCTGGCCGCAACACGCCGACCTGTTCATCTCCATCTCCTCAGCCAGACATGGGTCGGCTACCCCTGGGCTGCTTCCACGTTCCTCCTGGGACCCTCCCTGGCTTGTCCTCGCTCCTCTGGGTCTGCAGGGAATGAAGACTCCAGTAGGGTTTCCGTCAGCTCAGGGTTATCAGCGGTCCTGGCGACCCAGGCCAGTTCTCCCTTTCTCCACAGTGTGGCTGAGCCTCCCCCCTTGGGAGCTCGAGCAGCATGTCTGGCTTCCTCTGTGGCTGGCCCCAGCTGAGCTCCTAGCTCCTGCGTTTTTATACTTCTGACCCGCCCCTCTGTTTCCTAGAATTTGGGGCTGGGTTGCTCTTGCCCCGCCCACCCAGGTGCCTCAGGGAGTCCTTCCCCTTCAGGGTCAGAGGGAGGACAAGCTGCTGCCTCACTGCAGGCAGACTTACAGGTGCAGTAATTGCCAGGGTTGTTTTCCGTCAGAGCTCAGAGAAGAACAACAAATCACAAAGGAGGTGGAAACTTCAGGTGACTTCTGAGGAAAAAAATTAAATCTCTTTGCCTTGGCTCACTACAGGGGAGTGAAACTGAAGTTTGCAGTAGTGATAGCAGAAGACAAAACTCTCCTCCTGCAAGAGCACCCTTCTCTTCTCTCCTTTGTGTGGCACACACTCCAGGCCTGTATCAGTTTATAAATATGGTGTTCGGGGTGTGAAAAGTCCATTCTTACGTGTTTATCTCCACCCGACTGGAGCATCACTTGTAGCATACATCATAGTGTTAAAATGCTCTCTGTTTGCAATACACCAAATAGGAATTTAATTGTAGGAAAAAATAATGGAAGTAGGACACAAATGGCTTTCTTGGGTTGCCATGGTTACGTTGATTCAGGCAGGAACAGCCTTGTCAAGAAATGCAACCATCCTAATTTTAAATATTACATTTTAACACTCTGGTTCCATACAGAGCTGCAGATTTAAAACCCAGCCTGATTGTTGTCCTTTATGGAATATATGATTGCAGGATTCACGGGACTAGTGAACCAATTCTTTGTAACAGCACTCCAGCAGCCGTGGTGATGATAGGTCTTGTTTGGTCAGTAGGCATAGAACCTACAGTACAGGGGTACCTGGTGGCACTCCCTGTTCTTGTGACCAGTTAAACCAAGTTGAATGGGTTTATGTCTGCTTTCCCTTTTTTGTGGGTTTCTCCTGGGTAGTTTTCTCCTCTTTTGCTCTTGATGTGCAAAGTGCAGGACTGGGACAGTCAAATTGCCAATCTTCCTAGATGTGCCATTGAATACATGGTTCAAAATTCATGTGTGTGGCTTTATCATTTGCCTCCCAAGAGTGCCAATGAACTGACTTCTGGATGCTTGTGAACCCTTGGCCTGTGGGGTAATTCTGCCTTCCATTCCTTACTTTAGAGTCACTCGAGCCAACCTATCAGCAACTTCAGAAGATGAAGCTGGACAAGAGCCCCTTTGTGGTGGTATCAGTGATTGGCCAGGAGCTCCTCACTGCAGGCCACCACGGAGCCTCTGTGGTTGTGTTAGAAGCTGCCCTGAAGATCGGCACTTGCAGCCTGAAGCTGAGGGGATCTGTGTTCTCTGCGCTGAGCAGTGCTTACTGGTCTCTTGGGAACACAGAGAAAAGCACAGGGTATATGCAGCAGGACCTGGATGTAGCCAAGACATTAGGTAAAGTTTTCATTTTCACTCACTTCCTCCCTGGGTTAGTGTGGAATTGATGTAAATGGTGCAAATTAACAGGAATGGCACTGGGATGAATGAAAGGAAGCAGCTGGAGCTGCTGTGCCATTTCACAGGCTGCTGAGCCGCACAAACATTCTTGTTTATCACAAAATGTGTGGGGTGGATTATGGGGGTCCCAGGTACATGCTAAAGGAGCACTCAGGATTTCTTTATGGTATCGACTGTCTGTGAACTGGCTTTTCCCCTTGAGGCTTGAATGCATTTTCCTTAGGTCATCAGTGTATTGATTGCAGGGTAAAGTGAGATGTGTGCTCAAATAATCTGAATTACCCATAGCTTGTCTACTCTACAAATACATTGCTGACATAGTTATACCTGTCTAACTATGCTGGTGATGTGTCCTAGCGAAGATGCAGCTTAAACTGACAAAAGTTCTGCTGTTAGCCTAATTAACTCATATCCCCCAAAGGACATGTGTTTTGTCAGCAGGACCGTCTGCACCAGTGTTCCCTCTAAACCAAGGATGGGCAACTGCCAATAGTTGGCAGGCCACATGAATGGCCCTCCAGCACCTCAGTGGGCTGCAGCAGCCCTTGGCCCACTGGGGTTCCTCCTGCAGCCGGCTGCTTCCCTCCTCCACATGCCTCTCACCCATCGGGACACAGGACTGCAGGTGCCCAATACTGCTCTAAGCTACACAAGAGCCTCCTGTTTCCTTTGTGAGGGGGAAGAAGGGGCGCTGACTTCAGGGGATCCCCCAGCCCCTGCCCATGTAGCACATCTTTGCAGAGGGCAGGGGAAAAGGCATAGGAGCTAGATGGAGCTGCTGGTGGCTCTACTGTCTGAAATATCCTTCAGGCTGGTGAGTGCTGCTCTGTTTAAAGAGAGAGCACAGGGTCTCTTGTACACTTCCCTCACAGGCAGCGCGCGCGCGCACACACACACACACTATGTGTCCTCCCCCCAACACATGCATGTTCATGCACACACTCCGCACATACATATACGCACACACAGAGTCCTTGTCTCTTTCTGGCACACAGTGTATCTGTCTTGCTCCAGTCCACAGGACAGTTTGGGATTCACTTTGGGGAGCGCCCACAGTGGCCATCTCAGCTATTCTATGGACGGCTTCCAGGATGGCCTGGGAAATTCCTGGGGGGCCTTGCACAGGGCAGCAGCAAGGATTGGGGCCCCACACTCACCTAGGTGGCCAGAGCCAGAGTTACCCCGCAGCCTGTTCCTCTCCACCCTATTGCTTTTCCAGCCCACTGCGCTACACTTCACTGTGGAAGCTGGAAACAGCCCACTCCACTGCCCACTGTCCTTTCATTAGCTAACTCTTGTTTTGTTTGTATGTGACTCAGGTGACCAGACAGGAGAATGCCCAGCTCATGGGAATCTGGGCGGGAGGCCCTGACTAACCACAGACATCAGCTGGTGCTCGCCATGAAACTCAAGGACAGAGAGGTAGGAACCTTGTTAAATAGACTGAATTGGGAATTGTCACTGTGTGGCTTTCTGGGGAAGCACGGGACATTCCCCGGAGATCTCAAGAATCCCTGTCTGCCTGCACCTTTGCCCCATTGGAAAGTGTGAAGCTATATCGGGAGGCCCTGACTAACCACAGACATCAGCTGGTGCTCGCCATGAAACTCAAGGACAGAGAGGTAGGAACCTTGTTAAATAGACTGAATTGGGAATTGTCACTGTGTGGCTTTCTGGGGAAGCACGGGACATTCCCCGGAGATCTCAAGAATCCCTGTCTGCCTGCACCTTTGCCCCATTGGAAAGTGTGAAGCTATATCACTTCTAGTTCACCAGACATGTAACTCGATTGCTATTGTGGAGACAGCGTGGTCCAGTGGATAGCACATAGGTTAGGACAGCAGAAGACTGGTTCTGTTCCCATCTCAGCCTGTCTCTAACCTGCTATGTGACCTTGCACAAGTCACATCACCTCTCTATGCCTCTGCTTCCCTCCTATCCTTGTCCTGTCAGTTCAGAGTGGAGACTCTGTGGGGCAGAGACTGCTGTCACGAGGTGTGTGCACAGCACCTAGTACTATGGGCCTGGCCTTGGGTGGGGCCTCAACTACCGCTGTTATGATTAATTTGGAGGGCGCTTGCATGCACCGTCCATGTAACATGCGACAGTCCTTACCCCCCAGGAGCTCAGTGAAACCAGTGAAGTGGGCGGAAGGGGAGGAGAACATACAACAGTTACATATAAATACACAATTATGATTGACTCAATGTGGAAAGTAGAACCTGACGTGTGAGCTGCAGTGTTAATGTTAATGGCTGTTATTGAGTTCATCTGAGTCTCCTTGGTGTTTACCCCCCAGTCCCTCAGGTATTTACTTGGGCTTTCTGCCCAGCCTTATGGAGGGAAAGGGATCTTGGAGGTATGTCTGTCCCAAGAGCTAAGCTCTGTGAGTTTACTGTAAGAACAGAGGCATCATTATAGTGGACTTTCTGGAACAAAAGACTTTGTATCCAGGAACTTAACAGTGAACGTTTAGATGGGGTAGGATGGGGGGAACTGAAGGGAGGTTGTGATTGAGGGTGGGTGGATGTGTTTGAAGGCAAATTGTAGGTGAAGAGGCACAAGTGTGTGTCTGACTGTGCTTGAGGCCAAGTGTCAGTGTGTATGAGTGCAGGGAAGGGGTGTCTTTGGGGCCAGCTGTAGTAGAGGATGTAAGACTGACCCTGTCAGTGGTGTGAAGCCCCATTTTATGTGGTTGCCAAGTTTAGTAAAGTGAAAGCCTGTAGGAAATGCCTTCTGCAAGGCGTGGTGGAGGAACTGTGTGGGGAGGGAGGGACAGGGAGCTGCCAGATAATTTCATGATTATTTAACATGTGGAAAATTTCCCCAATCACTTTCCGAGTTCCCTGTGCACACTACCCATCATTCTTCTATGGCTGTGCTGATTAGGGAGGGCTTCGGCCACTTTGTAAGTGACCAGTCTACATAGCTGCAGCTCTTCCTAGGGTATTATTTCTCAGCAGCCCCTTGGGCTCTGCAGGGATGAGCCCAGAAGCTGCTGGAGATTATAAGGGAGTACAGTGTGAGCTGGACCATGGGCATTCTAGCTGATGGATGGAGGGGGACAGTAGCTGCTACCTGCACTACCAAAGGGTGCTAAAGGAGGCTGGGGATGGAAGCATCTGAAGTGTCCCCTAGTGAGTGATTTCAGGCTGCCAGTCCAGGAGAGCCAGGCAGGCAAAGCCCCCTGTGCACTAGGTGTTAAGGAGGCTGCTAGAACAGGCAGCTGCAGTTCCCTGCACTGCTTTCAGCATATACTCAGACCTGCTTGGCAGGCTGGGTTTCCTGGCCTCAGATGCAGAGCTTGTGTGAGGGTTCACGAGTTCTCACCCTGGCTCTATAGGTCCCCCAGGCAGCCCTCCTGCATCCTCCCTTCCCCCCTCCCCCGGCCTTCTCCTGAATCCTCCCTCCCAGACCCATGCCCTCACCCTTAAGATGCTCCTGCAACCTACCTCCTGAACAGACCTCGCACCCCATCCTGAGGCCATTCCTACACCCTCCCTCGCAGACTTCCTGTCCCCCCGGCCGCTCTTGTATCCTACCTCCTGCCCAGACCACATAACCCCACCCCTAGCCCTGCTGCTGCACCCATCCAGACGCTGCGCTGCCAACCTTAGATCACACTGAGCCCCTCATTTTGGCCCCACCCCAGAGCCTAGGGGGACCCCATAAAATCCCGCAGTCCCCAGCTCCTAGAAGTGTTAATCCAGCCCTGAGAGTAAACACAGGGTCTCAGTGTCTCCCCTGAATGTGGGGCTGGAGCTTGAGGGGATGGAAGGGAGTGTCTTTTTATTCCTGCTTCTCAGTGGTGGCCACATGTCTGAGGGATTTTTCCCCTTTTTCTCATGTGAGGGCTGGGTCAGTGAGGATTGTTTTTGCTTCTCACTTGTGTGCGGCCCCCAACAATTCTTTTGTGGGTCTATGGCCCCTGGCCCCAAAAAGATTCCTCATCCCTGAACTAGGTGATCCCTGTCTTGTTGCTACACTGGGCTTTGCCTTCTTGCCTGGCTCCTGCCTTGTTCCTGTTTCCTGCTTCTGCAGCCCACAGGCTACTGACTCCAACATTGATCCTTTGCTTGAATTCCAGCTCTGCCTCTGGCTCAGACCTCTGGTTCCTGGTACCTGATTACTGCTCTAATCACTAGCTCTGACCGCCTAATTCCTAGTCTAGTCTAGGCTTCTGGATTTTATATTCTATTCAGAGACCATAGTGTGAATCCAAGTGAGCTAGTAGCCGAGTGCTGGAAATGGTCCCTCTACCTTTTTCAGAGGAACATGCTGACCAGCCCTGACAGACTCTCTAGGCATCTTGCCACCCAAAACAAAGAGCAGTTCATAACACATAAGCAAATCTGGACTGGTCTAATGTGTACACTGTGCAACACTGGAAACCAGCTCAGACACCACAGGGAGGGAGGCCATGTCAGAACACAGAACAGCTCATCTGACCTTAAGTAGTGTGTGTTGATTGCTCTGTTTCATTAGCATTCCGCCAGTAATTGAAACAGCTCCCAGAAGCTGAGCTGAGTGGGTTTTATTTTGTCTGAGGCAAAGGCCTTAAACCCAGGAGTGTTTTGTATGGAAATGCTTTGCAGTAGTCTGCAGGGGAATGGAGTTTGTTCCCAATTGTTTTCAATTTGACACATCTGGGGGCATAATTAGCTGTTACTGACAACAAATGGCTACTTGAGTTTGTGAGAAAGCTGAGCCTTTTGGATTTCCTGTAGGATGTAACCACAGGAAATTAATTTGGCGCTTTCTGATGACATCATCTTGACCATAGCACTTCCTCTGAACACAAAGCTGTTTTTCTTGGCCTCCACTGCAGACATTTTTAGGACATGAATATTATTATCAAGTTGCAATGGTGTTGCTGTGAATTGCACCAGAAGGCAGTTGTACATGGGACTGTAATGAGGTCATTGTGTTAGCCCCAGACCTACAGGGAATTGGCTTAGAAGGTAAAAATGTTCCTTTGTACCAGAGCCCTCTCTTCTCACAGGGAGCATTGGCTTCTGAAGTCTCTATAATAATGAGGGGACCGCAGGTTTCTGCTAGATCAAATAGACTATCAGCCCACAACAAAGTTCTAGGGAGCTGTGTATCTGCAAGATCCAGGGACTTACTTCTCTCTCTAACCTGGGTGTCAGGAAATTTGTATCAGAGAAGCCATGTATGAATCTCTGGCTGCTGGGCTGGGTTACCCTGAACTTAGGGGAATGGTATAGACCCGGGTGGCCAACCCGTTAGAATCAAAGAGCCAAACTAGCAGTGGACAGAGTGCAAAGAGCCACATACCAGGGTGGAAAGTTGTTGAGAGAAGGAAAAAAAAAACCAGCTGCGCCGGGAGAAAATAGGTGCCGGTACACCATTCCAGTGAGGGGGCTCCAGGCTGGAGAGGGGTCAGGTGGAGGGTTGGGGTTCTGCGCAAGCTGAAGGCTTGTGGCGATGAGGGTGCAGGAGTTTGGGCTGGGGTGCATGTGGGGCTCAAGGAAGGGAGGCGGGGAGTATAATGGGCTCGGGACAGGTTTGCGGTGTATGGATGGTGCAGGGATGTTGTGGCAGAAGATTGGACGGATGGGGGGGCAGGAGTTTGGGGATGTGAGAGGCTCAGGATGGGGGATTCCAGTGTATGAGAGGGATTCCAGTGTATGGGATCTGGGAGGTTGCAGGAGTGTTATGATGCTGTGACCAGATGGGGGCTTGGTGGCCAGGCTTCATTTTTAAATAAAATATGTCAAACACAAAAGATTTCAGTGTTGTCTTTATTTATGAGGGGGGCGGGGAACCTCTTTTGAGTCATGGGTCACTGACCCACAGAAAAATCAGTCAGGGCCACAAAAGTGAGATGCAAAACAACCACCCGTCCAAAAAACCCCTAACTCTCACTAATGTGGCCCCAACTGTGTTGGTGGGGGCAGGGGAACAGGTTGCTGGGGCACGGTGCTGGGGG